AAACTTACCAGGATCAACAACAGGATGCGTGGGAGGTCGACCACGACGTTTTTTGGCTGGAGGAGCATAATAGGTTGGGGCGGGGAGAACTTGGTCACTGGACTCAGTTGGAGTAATCCTTGAGTTTAGGGTGTGTGAATAGTTTTGATTTGGTTGTCTAGATGCAGTAGCGGGGACTCCGGGTGGCTGTTGTGGTGGTTGGAATAACGGAGGATGAGATGCATATTGGTATCCCGGATGATGTTCCTGTTGCGGTTGCCCGGCATTCGAGTGCGAATGGACATCTGTGTTGTGGAAATTTTGCTGATAATGTGAAGTGGTGTATAGTCCTTTGGAGGATGTCGAATTAAGAGGTGAGTGATGGGTGTGACTAGTTTGGTTCATGGGTGGTGAATATTGCATGTTGGCTTGAGACACAGAACTGTTCATATTGGGTTGCATGCTACGATTCATGTTGTGAGTCGGCATTTGGGAGTGCAGTTGTTGGTTCTGCATTTGCTTCGGGAATCCATCGTTGACGTTCTCCATGGCTGTGAAAGTAAAAGTATGAATGCGAACTGATAAGCACGAACCGTCCTTAAAAACAACCATGAGTGAAATAGTACGGGTATTTGTAGGGGGTCCCCAGTTGCAAGAAAACGTCAAAAATAAGCACAGTCATTCGCTACGGGGCTTCGGCACTAAAGACGAGGGATTTGTGAGAAGTTTTACTAAATGAAATCGCCGGAAGTGTAGAAAATAAGCACCGGCGATCAACGATATCACATTATGAACACAAAACTGATTGTGAAAGACACCAAACACCGAGACCCCCGTTCCAGATGAAGCGAACAAACGGTTGTGTGGCCCAGCAAACCAGTATGCTTCCCGACATTCAGAGAGGCATGAAAAATTTACAATTGAAACTGACGCACACAGACAAAGTAGGGAACAAAACGATACGCGTTTTTAATGACCAATCGGCGGTTATTTATTTTACCTGAATTTGTGAAGTGCGTCGAACGTTGAGACTGGGTTTGTTGCTGTTGTTGTTGGAGAAGCAGCTGATGTTGCAATTGCTGCACCGAATTGGAGAGGTCCACGTAGGGGTTCTGCGCATTATGTACAGAGTGGGTTGACGAATTATCCGGAGAGATGCCATGGCCGAAATGGTGTGCCTGTGGTGCATTAAACTGACCCGAAAGCATGGCAGTCTGATTCTGGTGGGTCATATGACCGGTACCTGAGTGAGTCAATGAAGAGCTGTTGGCGTGTGGATGATGCGCATGGTACTGGAATTAGACAATAGGAAAAAATATAGAACCGGTATTACCGATAGTCAGCATGAAAGACATTAACAAGGTGAAAGTTCTTGATGTATTTTCCACTATAAAATTGACTTTTTCCCCGTATTTTTCCCATCGCATGGTTCCTTCAGTTCACGGGTCTACACATCGCTGGTTGGGTCCGTACGTTGCAACAGTTCTTTCTAGAAATGACCAGTTTTACAGACAACTTTGAGAACTCTGTCGTTTTCCAAGGAACTGAACGCGTATTGATCGTTCTGAAACCACCCACTGACTCACAAGACAGGAGTGCATTGGAAGTTTAACAGTACATTAGTCAAATGAGCAATAAAGTCTGAACTCTGAAGCCGAAACCAGCAATGTGGGCAAAACTTGAACAGAAAAAGGGCTTGAAAAACTATCTTGTCTACTAGTAGAATGATCTGAAAGTGCTGCCACTAGTTTAGATACAAACGTGAGCGTGAGTGAGTTAGAAAGCTCATTATAGGAATCAGATCAGAGAAGTGATTGTGGTCGCGGAAGCGTCTTTTACTGTGATGTACTGCAAGCAAACGATGTACAGGCGCATTTTCGTTCTGGAAAACTGAGTCAGTAGTTGTGTGCAACAGTGGCAAGATCGGTTGGATCAGGAGTTGAGATAAATCTGACCATTCACAATGCGGTGAAGAAACACCGCACGACCTGCACTGAAGATCCATTGTGCTACATTGTTGCTATCATCAGTTTCAGTTTGTTTTACAACCAATGACCATCCACTTTCGTGCACCGATTTGGTTGCTGTCTTTTGGTGCCCTATTTAGGTAAAAGAGCAGAATGATGAATGGAACGTTGAAAGCAGATTCAAACGGGAGATGGAGAAGTGATATAGAATGGTGTTAGGGGAATAATGAGTGGATGCACGAACGCCATTGTCTGCGACACCCAGCCATATCACCTAGTGTCTCTAACCATCGGTGACCATCAGCCCGAGGTCTCCAACCAATGAGCCTAACGGGGCCCACGTGACCTAGTCTCCTGGTTAGGGTTTTCATACCCACATGCCAGGTCTTCGTTTGACCAAACCAGACCCTTTTCCAACCGCTACCTGCCTCGGCAATCATCGCTCGCCGTGGCAACCTATTTGGTGACATGCGTAACACATGTCCCAACCAACGCAATTTATGGAGGTCGCTCCCTTGGTCCAGTAGACGACCGCGACAGCCTAAAACTCTAGGCCTAACCACAGCATTGCTAATCCGGTTACCTCATCAAACTCGCGCAATGCTACGTAGACAGCGGTGTTCGAACACCGACAATCTATTTTTATCCTGTTCCCTTAGTGACCAAGTCTCTGCACCGTAGAGTAGGACTGGCCGAACTGCTGCAGAATATACTCGACCCGTCACAGACAGCCGGATGTCGTGACGGTGCCACAAATGTCTCAAGTTGGCAAATGCCAAACGAGCCTTTTGTATGCGTGCCGACAGTTCATCTGTGATGCGTCCGCCAGATGAGATTTATCTGTCCAGAAAGCAAAATTTGTCTACTTCACATACTACTTCCCCAATCAGGGTGAGGTCGGGGGGCTAAACAAACCCAATCTTGCAGCAACATCTTACACTTTGAAGGTGCAAAACACACCCAACATGGCTACACTAGCATTTAAGCTATCCAGAAAAGCTCGCAACTTACCTGGATTTTCACTTTGTAGCACAATGTCGTCCGCACACTCTAGATCAGACAGTTTGCCACCTGGGAGTAAATCGAGAAGTAAATCTATCACGAAGTTAAATAGAAACGGAGAGAGAGGACAACCCTGTCGAATACCACTTTCCGTGGTGAACTTGAGTGAAAAAGTCCCGTAAGCTCGAACTCGGATTCAACTATTAGTATTATCAGATGACTCACTACCTATTGATGCAACTCGCTTAAAAAATGACGAACACAATTGTTCTTGGTTCACAGCTGTCCTTCAATTACTGAGTCTTTTGGACCCCATTAAGGAAGGCGAGAGTCACTTACTCTACCTGATAGCTCCGAGCGTTTTTCCATGTCATCTGTTGACCTCCACGGCTTTTCCTTTAGTCCGAAGCGGCTACAGAGAATAAGGCACAGTGAGGTGGGTAGCGGTTGGGCAGGTACAAAGTTTCCCTACTTGCAAAGCCTATTCATTTGGGTTCCATGGGCTAGCCAATTTATCCCCGATAAACTCTCCACTGCACAGCTTTTTACCCCTAGATTGCTAACTCGTTCACTCCATCTAACGTGATGTTTATCATATTTTACACACGCCTGAGTTCAGACCATGTGCCAAACAAATCGCGGTACAATAATCTTTATAGAAAGAAAAAACGTTCCACGATTTGCATATGGGATGAATACTGCCAGGTTGTCCAGGCCAAGGCAGGTGAATTTTCTTGGGGAATCCATTACCAGAGCCTTCGGGTAACCAAAGCCCGACCCGCAGGGCAGCAGGGCGGTGAAAACCGTATTTTACGTGAGCCGAATAACGTAAGCGTTGATAGTTGAAATCCTCTAACTGATCGATACCCAATTCTCGCGAATTCCGGGTCTGGCAATCATATAGCAGAACTAAACGAACGATAGCACAGTATACACGACCTTTCAAATTCAGTGAGACGTCACCTCTATGCCAAGTGTTCCAGCCCCACGCCGCTCTAACTTTGGAAATACGTGTCGTTATCTC